CTTTGGGAGTGTGATTAATCTTGGAGGCAAGGTGAGCTGTTTAAGTTTTCACCCATCTTACGCTGTGAGGAGACAGAATAAAGAAAGCCCTTCATACTCGCTGGCTCTGGCGTCATAAAACTTACCAAAGTAGTAACATTGAAGCAGGGCCTGGACCAGGTTGGGTGAGTGAGGTGCCTCGAGTACAAAACTTCAGGAGGCATTTACTCTTCAGGTCATACGAATGCGGGGCCACCGAGGCTCAGAGAGGGGAGGGGCCCCTTCACACCCCAGGCAGGGCAGCTCTGGACCTGACATCTGGTGCTCTGTGTCTCATGGACGTTAGGCCATGAGTTCATTCTGAATCAGAGAGTCTGTGGAACTCATGGTGTTTCTTGAAAAAGAAAAACAACATTATTAATATTTAGCTACTCCCTGGCATTTACTAATGTAGGATGGATAAAAAGAAACTCCCAAACTGGTGAAATAGAAAAATTTTGGTTAACACCATAGTAAAGCTATTTTTTTCATATTCTTTTTCTGGCCAGAAAGTTCTAAATACCTTCCCAACAGTATTTGCTGCAAAAAGAACAGAGAGGAAATAAATTATTGTGTGACTCCAGCAAACACTTGCCAAATGAACAGACAATGAATTAGAATTGGCAAAAGGGAGAATGGAACTCACATGAACTCAATATCCTTTACTTTAGTTTCATTTAGTAGTTAAAGTATTACATTTCTTTTATATACAATTTTTACACCTTTTTACAAAGGCTTTAAAAGGTATCTATATTAAGTGTCCACAAACTTTTCCTCTGAAACATCGCTTAAATCACTTTGGCTGACTCTGATCTCAACCAGGTAAGATGTTAAGGAAAGACAAGAACAACAACAACAAAATGGTGTAAAACTTTATCCAACCATGGCTTAACAGGACTTATTGGTTAATTTGGATTTGGGTTGATTGTCAGGATGGCCTTGAAATTCATGTTCTAAATTTAAATAGGAATTTCTTCAGTTTTCCATTCAAGAAGTGATTTTCTTTCTTTTGTTCCACTAGGCTGTACAGATTGTATTCTCTGTTTCTGAGGCTGTCATCCGTTAGCAGGATTTATAGTTGCTGACAGCTTGCTTTAATAATTCACAAGGAATAGAATCTATTTTGTGCTCTCCCTTTTCTCAGTCGGTTCAGTGATGCAGGCAGATTAAAAACATGCTTTTTGTCAGTGAGATAAATTAAGAGGACTCAGAGACACCCTAGGAGGAGTCATACTGAACAAGTTACCACGATGAAATGTTTTCCCACCAGTACACAACTAGATAAAACCAGAAACAGACCAGGCTGTATTGTGAACCCTTCAATCTGGTAAGCCTGGTACTGAAGTTAAACCTGCTCTCTGGTCATACCCCAAACTGTTGAGTTAATTTATACAGGCAGCTGAATGTACTGGCTTTCAAGTTTTAGGGAAGGGAAATCATTTTAAGGACAAAATGAAATTCAAAATTCACACACAATTTATAAGCTGTGGCATTTTCTTTTTGTGAATTATGGTAGTAAAATGTGTAACTAGCACCTATTATGTATTGTTTATATAGTTATCTGAAAAAGAAGATGCCTTTATTTCTGAGTAGCATCAGACAGCAGAGCAGGAAAGAGAAGGCTGCCTGGCGATAACTTCTACTCCTCAGTTTCCAGGAGAAAGCGCCTCCTGGGTCATGCTGTTGCTTCATGTTTCTTTAACATTAAATGTAACAAGTTCTGCATCAGGCTCAAATCCCATCTGGCCTCAGCCCAGAAGAGGCCAGGGGCCTGTCAGGCCTTACAGTGCCCTGACTTTGTTGATAGATTCTGTCTGCTCATTGAAATTCAGCAGTGGAGGAAGAAGGTGCCTCCTCCTTGCAGGCTGTTCCTCTCCCTAAGCAAACAAGACTGCGGCTCAAAGGCAATATAGACCATGGAGTCCACAGCCAATTTCAGTACTTAGTTCCTTCCTGACGCCAATAACCAGACCCACACCACAAGATGGACGCACCCTTCTGGGTAAAGAATGTATTTATTTAGGTTCATGCAGAAGCCAAAGAAGAATGAACAGGGCAGATGAGCAAATCCTACAATGGACCTTGCAAGTGAACTGAGAACTGTTTGGTGACTGTGGTTGACCACTTCAGCTCACTAGTGTGCACACATAACGCCCTTTCAGACTTTGGCATTCCTTGAATTTTCAGTTTGATTTTGGCACTAGCTGTTTTCATAGATATTTTTTCTTATTTTTCATGTATTTCATGCCATTATGGAAAGTAAGTGTGTTTTGGCTAGACATCCTAGCAAAAAAAAAAAAAAAATTATGGCTTTGAAGAGTATTACCTTCGAAAGAATATTACAAATCACTATCTGGAAGTCAGCTGGCATCTGATATGTCTTTATTTGTCTACACATGTAAATGTACATAGATATATAGGTAAACATAGATATAAAATATTAACCAAATTTATACGTGGTTTTCTTTAGGTAACTATAGATAAAAACTGTAGTTCCACTTGGCTTTTGTAAAAAGTGGGCATCTAGTTTTTCATCTAATTGGTAAATGTACATAATTTTAAAATAGCTTAATATATTTTTTTCTTAGTTTTCTTTAAAATGTGAATTGAAGTTGTGATTTGAAGTTGGAGTAAAGATCACTGGAGGCCCAGACATTCCCTGAAGTTGAATAGGGTGACCCTTTGGTGCTTGGAGCCGTAACTTTACCATCTAAACTGCTCCAGAAATTCCAGTGACCAAACTCTGATATTTTTTTCACTCCTCCATCACATATTAAACTTGTAGTGGACCTAAAAGGGTTTCCAGTTCACCCTTGCAACTTTGTCCCAAGTTGAAGGAAGAATTTACCCCAAAATGTGCTCTCTATAACAACAGCATTTTTCCAGTCCTTGCGTCACAAAGGTGAGGTCTCTTGAAACCATTATGGCTTCAAATGCAAGGGATGTGGTCTCAGCTTCACCATAGCAGCTGCTGGGAGCAACCAGCTCTCCTAGGTTTATGCCACATAAACACATACCCAAATACTCCAGTTCAATTTATTTTTCCTCATGCCATTACGCTTAAATATGAATTCTTCCAGTGGTGGGCAAACCAATTTCTAAGGCTGTTTTATTTTCTTCTACCTTTCCTTCCTTCCTTCCCTCCTTCCTTCCCTTCCTTCCTTCCTTCCTTCCTTCCTTCCTTCCTCCCTTCCTTCCTTCCTTCCTTCCTTCCTTCCTCCCTTCCTTCCTTCCTTCCTTCCTTCCTTCTCTCCATCTGTCCTTCCTTCCTTCCTTCCTTCCTTCCTCCAAATAACTACAATTCTTTTGATGGCATCCAAAAAATGAATGATTTTGAGGTATCTGGTTATGACTTCTGCAGACCTTTATATTCTGGCTTTGAACTACAAAAAGACAAACAGGAAGGAAGAAAGGAAGAAGACAGCAACAAAAACACACACAAAAACATGCACAAAAACCCCTGCAATCTATCGGTGAAATTGTACCTTCAAATAACATTCTATAAATTATCTTTGGTTATTTTAATAGGAGTTATAACCAGTTTTAATTTACTCATTCAAAATTCAACAATATTTGTTGAGAATCTACCTACTACATGCCAAATAGATAAGTTATCAGCCCTCATGGTGTCTAGTTTTGCTTAGGGTAGATATTTAATAAATGAGAGAAAAAAATTAAGTAAAATAATTTCACATAATGACACATACTTGTAATTAGCTCTACCATAGCCTTCCCAGACACCCCTTCAGGTGTGATGTTCTTATTTCCCTGGTCAGTAGGAATGCTGTCTATACACAGCCTTCACCTCTCAGACCCTGTGATGGTTAACTTTATGGGTCAACTTGACTGGATTAAAGAATACCTAGACAGCTGGTAAAGCTTTATTTCCAGGTATGTCTGTAGAGTTGTTTCAGGAAGAGATTGGCATTTGAATCAATAGACTGAGTAGGAAGATCTATCCTCACCCAATGTGTGTGGCACCATCCAATCCACTGAAGGCCTGGATAGAACAAAAAGGCAGAGGAAAGCTGAATTTGCTCTTTCTTCTGGGGCAGAGAAACTTGTCTTCTCCTGCCCTTGAACATTGGAACTTCAGGTTCTCTGGTCTTTGGTTCTCAACCCTTTGGACTTAGACTGAAGCAAGTTACCAGCTTCCCTGGTTCTCCAGCTTGCAAATGACCTATCATGAAACTTCTCAGCTTCAATAATCATGTCAGCCAATTGTTGTAATAAATCCTCTATCTATCTATCTATCTATCTATCTATCTGTCTATCCATCCTATTGACTCCGTTTCCCTGGAGAACCCTGAGTAACATAGTCTTCTTTGGGAATTGCCTTAGCTGAAGAGAGTCACCTTGCCAAAGGTCATGTTTCCTACCTATAGGGTAGTCATATCCAATAACTGGGCCCCCTTAACCCAGCTCAGGACAACTCTGAAGGTCTATTCCATCTTTTGGTAGGATTAGCTCTGGTCCTTGTTGGGACCACATCACAACCTGACTTCTTCCTCTGCCTAATCCTGTTTCTATCCTTTCCATCAGTGAGGACCAAGAGGACTCCCTAATAAACTTTCCATTTATTAATCTCTACCTTAGTCTACTTCTTGGGAGTCCTGATCTGCAACAGTTAGTGCTAGCAGAATATCAAGAAAACAGACACTGATTTAGCATTTGGGGGCTGGATGACTTGCTGCCTAGCTAGGAGTAAAGACACCGTCTCTGGTGGTAGAGATTAGTACTATGCACGAGCCCAACAGAAATCAGCATGGCCAGCAGCAGAGACCAATGCCGAGTCCCCAGTACAGCACCAACCCTCCAGGATGCCAACCAGCCACTTGGTGGCAAGTAAAACACATTAGACACTTGGTGGCAAGTTAAACACATTAGACATTTTCCACCCTGGAAAGAGTAGTGGATTATTTTGATAGAAATAGAAATATATTTGGGGAATATACATAAAAGTTTGTCTTTCCTTTCCACAGAGCTTCAACCAGCACTACTACTTGAGGACCTATGCAGTGTTTGTCCATGAGCATGGAATGACTCATACTGGCATCAGAGTTAGGGTCCCACTTTGAAGGAAAGGGGATGCAGTAGTGGGCACATGACTAAGAAATCCACCAGTCCTCTCAGATACTGTACCACCAGAAGCTGCTGGCTTAGCGGAGCAAAGGTATGTTCAAAGAACAGCTGAAGCAGGAGCTTTGAGATTATACTTTGTGGGGATGGGTGTCATTATCTAGGGTGTGGTGCTTACCAGTAATCAATGAATTTTATGTAGTGCTACATCCCGACTAGATAGAATACGTGGGTTCTGGAATTAAGGGATAGAGGCATGAATGGTCCTTAATCTCTCCCAGTTACCTGTTTGCGGGATGTATCTTCCTTTCCTGGCGTCTCTGGGTTCTGTGGGTTTAGTGGTCCTGGTTCCCAGAGAGGAAATGCTTTCACCAGAGGACACAGCAGGAATCTTACTAAACTATAAGCTGAAGCTGACTCTTGGGCACTTTGAGATCTTTGTGCTAAGGGACCGATAGGCAAGAAGGGGATGCTTCCTGGCATCAGTAGGACATTGGGCTACTGTTATACAGTGGAGACAGGGAAGGATATATATGGCACCTACATTATCTATTTAGGTGCCTCTTGTTATTCCTTTGCCCAAGTTTGACAATAGTAGACAAGTGCAAAAGCCATAATCGGAGAAGGACATGGTGACTGAGAGCTCAGATCCCACAAGATAAGGGTCTGGTTCATGCTACCAGGCAAGACAAATAAACCCATGGAGTTTCTAGGTGAGTTTAGGGAGCATATAGAATGGAGAGTAGAGGAGGGAGAATGTGATCCCAAGACTGGCTGCAGTGGCTAGAAGTGTATTTCATTCCACTAAACCTCAATAATGTTCACTGAGAATCAGATGCCCCAGCATCCTAACTAAGCTGCCTCCAGAATTTATACAAAGCAGTGGATTCAAAGGATGGACTCTGGTGAGATGCTGCCCATATTCCTATTCAGTACTAAAAGTCTTACTCCTCAAGAGGCTGAGAGTGTTGCAAACAGATAGTTTTGACTTTCAGGCTTCTTTGGAAATTGTCTCATCTCAAGAGCTGCTATGCCTTCTTGGGGCAGCTAGCATCCAATGTGGGGGGCATAAAGACTTGTCTCCTCGTTTTGAAACTTGGTATATTCTAAAAAGTCATTCTAGCTTCAGAACTCTGTGTGGGATTGGCTGAGGTGTTTGTTGAGACCGCAGTTGCAGCCTAATTCCTCCCTTTTCCCAGCACTCTTATCTTCCCGTCTTCAGGTGTTGATCAAGAACACCTCTAATAACTTCTTCTATGCAAAGCCACTCCTCACTCTCTGGTTCCCTGGGCATCCACCTGCAACAGTACTATTAAAATATATAAAACAGCAAAATGAAATAGAAGATCAGATACAAGGTGAGGCTACTCTAGTTATGATGATCAGATAAGTCTCCTCTAAGGAGCTGATATTTGAGCTGAGATGTGAATGATGAGAAAGATCACAGAAAGATCTGGGGGAGTAGCATGTACCATTCCAGACAGAGAGAAATATGAAGGCACTGAGGTGACAATGAGCTTAACATGTTCCAGAAAACGAAAGAAGTTCAGTGTAACTCAGGCAAGACAAATGAGAACGAGGCTGATGGAAACAGTGGCCAGATCATGGAATTTGAACTTTATTCTAAATGCAATAAAGAGTTACTAGAAGTAATTAAATATACCACTTTGACTTACAGGAGTAATAAATGACTTACAGGAGTTTGAAGAGTAGAATAAAGACAATCATTATAGTTATTATATATATTGTTATGAGACTATGTAATAGTCTCACCCCAAGAAAGAGACGGGGTGTTTTGAACTAGGGTGGTGATGGCGACAGGTGGTTGACTTTTGGTATTTATTTTGGAGGTGAATTCAAAAGGATTTGTGATGCATTACAATGTAGGACCATGAAAAGAGAATAATTAAAGATGACCCCTAGGTTAGGCCTGAGCAAGGAGTAGTACCACTAGTAGAGAAAGAAAAGAGGAGCATATTTGGAAACAGAGGATCTAAAGCTACCTAAGGACAGGGTACAAAGTTTCCAGAGAAAAAGAACAGATTAGAGAGTTAGATTACCTTTTTAATTAAGTAGTGAACTCAACTCTGTTAACCCCTTCAGTCTCTCTTTGTCTCAGTTTCTCTGCTTTCCATTCTTTCCTAGGCCACAATGAGATCTGATAGACCTCAACATCTATAATTATAAGCTGGTTTACGTTTCTCAGAGATGCTGCATTTTCAGCAGTCTCTCAGGTGACACTGAGGCTGTGGTCTGAGGACATTTTGTGTAGCAAGGTTCCACTGAAAATAACATCGTTGGGTCAGACAGACCTGACTTTGAATTGTTTCCCAGCCAATTATTAGTTGTGTAATATTGGAGAAGTTTAAATCTTCTCTGAGTTTAATTTCTTGTAAAAATAGGAATAATATACCTGCCTCATAAAGTTACCATGAGAATTAAATGATGTCATGTCTCTAAAGCATAAAGCAAATAACCCAGCTTCTTACTCACAATGGGACTAACTAATTTAGTGTCCCTCCCTCCCACCCTCAAACAGACTATATGTTTACAGATTATATTAGAATCTTAAAAAATCATTGCAAGACCTTAGGCATCCAGATAATTAGCATGTATAGTTTTGACTATTGCCAAGTAATTCCAATGGTCCACATAATGTAACAATTTGAAGGTGCACATTGGAATCCTATATACTGAGAAAAGGCTGGTTTGCAGGAGTGAGTAACTTACCTGGGGTATAGCCTACCCAATAACAAGCATCCTCATCTCAGGCTGACTTGATGGTTCTTAGCTCATCTTTCCATCTGCATGCCTTTTGTGAAACAATAAAACCTCTGTATCTTATGGAAAATGTCTCTGCTAAACAAAGGAACAAACAGAAAAACAAAAACTAAACTAAAACCAATTAGCAAATTGTGTTGGCATAGAAGTGAAAAAAAAGTTAAAAAAAAACAAAACAAAGGAACAGATGATATACAGAAAAACAGGAGTTTGGGATAAATTATGGAGTGGGAATGCCACATTGGCAGCAGCTTGGATCCATGCTATGAATGCTTTTACCATGTGCTCTACAAGGAAATAAAGAAAGCTAATTCACAAACGGTTTCAATAAGTTTTCCAGACAGAATTTGTATTATTAGCCTTATAAATGAGTCTAGCCCTCTATAGAATTCTAAAGGTCTTAAGGGGTTAATTATAAGTTTTTAGTAATACTTGACTGAACTTTATGGGAAAATTCTGTGCTATAATGGTATCTGTGATTTGGGGAATGTGTACATGTCTCAGGGTGTCTCTCTTAAGAATTTCAGGGTCTCTTGTAATTATTTTTAATATTACCATGTTGTTCTTGTTGTGTAGCAGATTGCAAAATGCTTATTATTAAACCATCATGGCAGTAATCACATTGTAAAGAAATAACTTGCATATTTAATTTCCTGTTTTACAATGAGGCTATAGCATTTGCCAGTAAATATTCAATACCATTGTACACAAGCACCATGCTACAAAGTACTTGGACAAACAAGACTCACCTGAGGAAGGGAAAATACTGGCTCCATGATGGAAATGTAACCTTGAGACTTGGGAGGGTAAATTATCTTGGGCCAATAACAGTATTACCTATGACTGGCAGAAGGTCATAATACTGGTGCATTTAAACAGCTGTTAGTCCCCCAGTAGTCATCTAGGGAGACCAAAGAGAGAAATCACTTATTTTGATACTAAAAGCACAGAGCTAGCTCTAAAGTATCTGACATATCCTAATCCTGATCAGCAAATCTCAGCACTTTTGCTTGGTGTGAAATCACTTAATTTTGACTGGATACTCCCTGTAGAAGGTAAGACTAACACATCCAACGATAGATGTATTTCTACAAAAAATGATTTTTATACTCTCATTCATGAAACACGCAGTCTCATTCTCCCAAGGCTCTAAGCAGTGTCAACGCGGTGTTCCTTTCATTTCAACTCTGAAGTCCTTGTAGGAATAACGATCTCACATTCCTTTGTTGTTTAAAGAGGATAAATTCCATGGACAATCCTCAGATGAATTAGTTAGATGAACTCTGGTATTTTCTGGGGCAGGTTAAGGGGAGTGAACCACAAGATTGATAAAATTCAACTGGATGCCAACTCCTTTGTATTATTTTCTGGCACCCTTATTTAAAATGCAAATACCCAGAGACGGTAATACATTAAAGAGCATTAAGGAGTAAATACATGGGTGGTGAGGAAGAGAACCCAATGTCTTCAACAAAATTCCATAGGAAGGGTCCCTACCTTTTACTTGGTTCAATGGGATTTGAAATAAGTTCAAATTTGAGATCTGCTACTCTTTAGCTCCTTGCAGCAATTACTTAAACTCCCATAGTCTCAGTTTCCCATGAAAGTAAAACAGTGACAATAGTAACAGCATAATAGCATTGAAGGGAGGAATTGATTAGATGACATATGCAAAAGACACGGAACAGAGCTTGGCAGATGGGAAAAATTTACCAAAAGTTTATTTTTCTCTTTTGATAAAAAGTACTTGAATATCATATTACATTTTCTCGCCCTACTTCATTAGGACAACACCAGTGGATAGGCACCCCCGCTCAGGAGACCAGGAAATCTCCCCTAATAGGACTTCCAAGTGAATTATTGAACAGTGAAGTTATTCAAAAATTATTGAATCACTGAAAAGAATTCCAAGAATCAGTGATATTCTGTGGAAGTTATTAGGAGTAAGATAGGGACTCTTCCTATGGAATTTTGTTGAAGACATTGGGTTCTCTTCCTCACCACCCATATATTATTATTATTATTATTATTATTATTATTATTGAGATGGAGACTCGCTCTGTAGTCACCCAGGCTGGAATGCAGTGGCACGATCTTAGCTCACTACAACCTCTGCCTCCCGGGTTCAAGCGATTCTCCAGCCTCAGTCTCCCAAGTAGCTGGAATTATGGGTGCGCACCACCATGCCCAGCTAATTTTTGTATATTTTTAGTAGAGACAGGGTTTCACCATGTTGGCTAGGCTGGTCTTGAACTCCTGACCTCAGGTGATCCACCCACCTTGGCCTCCCAAAGTGTTGGGATTACAGGCGTG